TATCTAGCAGGTCTTCAGTTCTTGAGCTTGCGGTGGGAGGCCTTGTTCGTCCACAAGGGTCCTTTGGTGCTCGGCAGGATTCGGCCCGCGGAGATATCTTCATGTAAGGTCCTCAGAACCTTTATCAGTCTGATTAAACATTCTAAATGACGTGTGTGTATTGGGACAAAACTAAAATCAGTTTGACGCGTCTTCTGTTCTTCACGGTCAGGGCTGGTAATCTGCGTCCTTACCCGATCCACCTGACTGACCGACTTAGGCAGAGCGGAGTCTTCTTCTCCAATGTTTGCTACTGCCTTTTTCCAACCAGAACAAAGGGGCAAAGAATGAGCTCCCACGAAGGTCCTGTCACCTCCTCCAGGTGTAGTGGGGAGCTGATGTTCCAGCAGATCAGCCTCAATCAGGTCCAGCGATCGATTCCGCTCCTCTCCAGGGGTGCCCTGGTTGTGGTCGTAACAGGTGTCACTCTCCTTCTGGAGACCGATGGCGTGTCATGTTCTCTCCACCACCTGGTGGCGTCCTGTCCCTCTTTTCAGCAGGACCCAGTCCGGTGTGATGGTTCGTAGTCAATCTCCTCGGTCAGAGATTCTCCCTCCTGATGAGAAAAGCTGGACACCAAAGCTTGCGAATTGTTAAACACCCTGCATGGCCTTTTGATTATTTTATCTGTGGGATCCATGACCCATTTGTGGGCCTGGAAAAATGACTGTGGTTACTTCCTAGTGAGTAAAACCTGTTTCTTAATTATGGGACACCCTGGTGGTCATTATTGCTACTGCTAGTGTGAACTCTTACACTGTAATGTTATAATAAAACAGAACTTGAAAAACTGAAATAAAATGCTATTCTTACATTCATCTATACACTTGAAACTGAAATGAGGTACATACTGGACTTCTCCAGGGATACCTGTGTTCTCTCGTCTCTTCTTTCATCCCTCAAAGTCTTTGCAGTCAACAGGTCTACCTACAATTAGTAAAGTTAAAACATACACAACAACACCCTGCAATAAGCACTCCCCACGCCAGCCTCCCTGTGGAAGTAACTTCTTTAGATCGCTTGCGCCAACAGCCTCAATCAAAATACAATATAACCTTAAAAGTTTAAACAACTGACATACAACACTGAGAAAA